ATGCACACAACTTCCTCCTCCTTTGGCCTTTTCTGACCCTTGCTATCCACATCAGGAAGAGAGAATGCAGACCTTATGAGATAAGGAGGAGGCATGTAAAGGAATTCTAGTGGACTGACTTGGGGAGCAGATCTTGGTCAATGAACAAGCCCAGTGTGCTCCTTATATCTTCCCCTCCTTTTATCCCACCATAACAAAAATCTCAATCCATCTAACCAACAAATAATTCAAAATTGGTTTAAATCTTTACCAAGACTGAGATTAAAGTGAATTTAGAGTTTACGAATACACTGCTGTGAAGTTACGATTTGATAAAAAAACATCAGGAAGCCATTCAAAATAAGACCTTTATTTAACCCTCACATATCCAAAATGCCTTGAGTTTTCTCAATTTAAAAGAAAATGTCTGGCCTGGCAGAAGATTCAGCATGTAAAACTGCTGTCAAAATTATTGAGTTCTGACAAGGATAAGCAGCTTGGATGTCAACACTGGGCTATAAAGAAATGCCAGCATCTCCCATAATATACAAGCATGTATGCACACATGCAACACAAGTGCACGTGTGCCCTACTGCCCCCAAACAAACACACACACACTACAGAAGATGGTAAAAACATTTCTTTTTTTTACTTGTGCTCAAGACTCATTCAGATCTAAGTATAGTATCCGGTGTGTGTATTATTTGTTGGACAAACTAACACAAAAAACTTGCAACCCCACTCAAGAATGTTTGAAGTTCATCTGATGAGATGCCTGGTAAGGTAGAAATAAGCTTGTCAACTCGCTTTCCTATACAGCAAACAAACTTCTAGTGCTAAGGAAGGTCAGAGGTCACTGTTATGCTAATGTTTTACAACTATTACCCAAAATTAACTTCATATCTGGGCAGAATTATTATGGTGCTTTATTTCAAGGATATCATATAATCCGCAGTAAAATTTATAGAGTTCTTCTTGAAGTTGGGATTGTGCTTAGGAATGAAAGTGCTAATACCTTGGTTATTTTAATAACATCCTTTAAAGTTCCTTTGAGCTGAAATATTAGTAAGAGCAGAAATATTTCTGTTGTCCAAGTTGTAATTGCATTAACCCTAACACAGCATTTTGATGGGACACTCCTATACTTACTGGAATATCTAAATGAATACTAGTGCTAAGTTTTCATTGAGTCATGTTGTTTCATGAGTGTTTTTTAGTGGAATACAATGCTAACAACATCTGATGATCCGAACCTCATTTCCTTTCCAAAAAAGGCAAACCAAAATCCTTTATAGCAACCTGTTCCTGCTTTCCTGCATGCATCAGGAAATCAGGCCTCTTGTTTCCTCTCCACATGTTGCAGCAGGAAGACCACTGCAAAGCTATTTCCCGAACACACTCTTCTTGTGCACCCTTCCCTTGACAGCACTGGAAGAATGATGTACAGTACATACATAACAGAGGAAGGTGGTACAGATTGCATGTCACTGCAGAACGCAGTTACGACATGGCAAATCTGGCCTTGGGTCACAGTTTCGCTGTGAAGGGGTGTACAGTCAAGGTAAAAAGCAAGTCTTCTCTACTTTGTGTCAAATAAATAATGTTTCATCAAGAAGACCACGCGCTCAGGCAAGTATATATCTTGTATTACCTTAGCTGGAAATGTCTTGCCATCAAGAAAAGTATCCCGACCAAATGACTTTACATAGTATATGAGGTTATTTTTTCCAGCCCCAATAATAATTAGCACAAGGGCAGTTTGCCAAGCTCAGGCAAAGACAATATCCTTCACAGTCTTCCCGAGCATTTGTGTCCTTTTCCAATTTTTATGCTGCTGTCACTGGACTCTGGCATTTCTTACCCAATTCATTTGCTTTCTGTGGTAATCATATGCAATGAAGATATGCATGGCCAACATTTAAACAGGCTGCAGATCAATTAGCGGTCTTAAGTTTATCTGATTTTTATCAAAGAAGACAGAGCTCTGGGTCGATTGTCAGAGCCTGTGTCAAGTTGACCTTTTCAGAGACGTCTACATTGCCAGTCCCCTGGGCAACTTGTTGTCCCCTGTTAGTCTCTGAATGGCAGAAGTCTGTTCTGCCCAAGCACAAAGTATACACAGATGTCTATATTACATTCTTATAGGTCTGACAGCAACTGCATGTTGTATCTATAAACTGTCCTTTAGCAGTGACACTTCCTCAATGATGATAAGCTAATTTATGCAACTAAATCTCCTTTGTGCAGAAATGAAAGCTAATTGAGTCGTTACAAAGTAATTCAGGAAGGAATACCTTGTATAAATTGGCTTACTTTATAAATCCTTCTCAAATGGTTTTCATGCATCCTAAGTGGTGCTAAGCAGTTTTGCTGCCATAAAATATCCTGATGAAACAGACAATTTTTGGAGCTATGAAAACATTATTTACTAAACCGAAAGGAAAAAAGACAGGAAAATAAAAGGTAAAGAAACATACAACATAAAGAAGAAACATTTCAATTACCTGAAACACTAGTAACATTCTCTTGGCTCAGCTTCCTTGGTGCTTCAGTCTTTGCAGGAGCTCTCTCTTCTTCCTCTGCAAAACACACAATTGCAAATGAAATGCTAAAGGGACACTTTAACTAATAGGAATTACAGCCTGTGTCAGTTTATAAAATGCACTATGCATTTTTTTTAACTGGAAAGCATGTTTGCCATAAAGCCAAATTATTCTGCATTTGTATAAAATTCTGAGGATTTTTTAAATACATTTTAAAAGCTCAATTACAAACACCTGTTGTATTTATATGGCCCTTTTTATTCTATTGTGCAAATGGCATTACGGGAATTTAAGTTTGCTTTCTCTCAATGACTTCTAAAACAATTAGAACTGGACTTTCCTTCTCCAATGCAAATCTTTTTTTCTAGGATAAGGGAAAGGAAACTCAGCAATGCAAACTTCCCCATTCATTCTTAATACAAAAAGTGTATGGATGTTGCTATCCCTGCTGGGTAATGGTAAGCATATTCTATCCCTCCAGATTATGCACAGGAGGCAAGGGGCCTCCTTGTCTTAGCTGTCATCCAGCAGGTCTCTCCTGCATGTACGATGGCATCTCTACTATAAGAACCATCCATTTAGTATCTCTACAGTGGCTGACATGAGAGCCCACACAAAAACTAGACTCAGGGAAGAAGGGTGGTTCCAGACATGTTAATACAGATCTGGACTTTATCAACTCTATATTCTCTGTCCTTGAGGTTGGGAGAGAAGAAAATTTGGAGCCTAGGAGTGCCTACATACGTACTAACTTTCTGACAGTTAACACACAAGTGAAGCAGAGTTGACTGAAATGCAGCGCAAGATAATACACTTCTAAAGTGTATGATGTTGAGTGGCATTAGTTAAGTCAACTCTAAGGGGCTCCAAGGGGCTCCTGGCAGGGGAGGCCTCATAAGATGACTGTCACCATGTCAAGGAGCTGTATGTGCGTACACTCCAACATGGCTTAAGTTGACTTAATTAAGTCACTTTATTTTAAGTTAACTTAGACATGTGTACACGTTCCGCCTGACACGCGCCCCACCACCCCCGTGCTCTTGTCAATGTAGAGCTGGACCCCTCTGGAATCTCCATAGCTGAGGTATAGAATGAGAGCGGGAACAGGAGTATGGCACAGATATGAAACTTCCCCCACCCCTACTCTTATATACAACCCACTCTGTATAGGAACAAGAAAACAACTACCATATAGGTATTTTAGTTAATAATTCTGTTGAGGAATCAAAAGGGAGAGACTTTGTATTTTTGTAAGGATAAAATGAAGTGTATACAGACTTATCCTGGCCATTATATAACAGCACAACACAGCTGTTCCTTCATCAGTTAAGTAAAAGATGATATACTGGCAAACACATTTTTCAAAGTAGAAGTACACTTCCAATACTTATAAATTATTTCACTACTGCTATCTGCTATATTTTGTACTAATAATACACGTTGGCTTTTGAAGTCCACACACATTTCAGCCACTAATTCTGATATTATGTTGTTAATACAGAGTAGATGCAAAAATCAAGGCTTTAATTCAAAACATCTCTCGTAAACAGGTTATTCAAGGGTTTTAGATCATAGTCTGTTAGGCAGAGAAGGGTAATTTTTTGGTGTGAACATGTGATCACGTCTGCTGGGGTTGTTTTAGGGGGTGACAGTATAGTTGGAATTCTACACAAATTACATTATGCCCTAACATTTCCATCCTGCAAACTTTCCAACAGATGTTTAAGCACAAAAGTACACCCTGATGAATTCAGATGGACCACTTGTATAACTTAAATCACATGCATAACTTTCCAGGATTGGGGCTCTACAGTTGCAAAGTACAACACAATTTTGAGAAACAAGGTTGTGATGTACTGTGCACAGAACTATGTGCTGCTAGGCACTCAGTGCTGTGATTCTTTCTGATCCGATACCACTGGCAAAGATAGACATTAGGTTGAGACATACAAATAGCTCTTTGACCCAAAATAAGAAAATAATAGAAAGGGTCAATCTAATGCTACAATACTAAAACTTAAGGCAAAAGGAGACATTTAAAACTGATTCTGCAGTTGGTACCATATTTGGTACACATTTCATTATGTTTATATGACTAGTTATTTTTAAATACATTTTAAAAGTAGAACAAAAACAGCATAAAATATCCCTATATTCTCTCAAAGGCACCAGGAGGCACTCTCACCCTGTGGTTTAGATGCCAGTCTTATGCCAGTTACAAGCATTATTATCCCACCAACGGTCATCTTTTTTACCTGTGGCACATTACATTTTAATCACTCAGTTCCAGTTGAGAGAGAAGGCATCAAAAATGGATTTTTTTAAGTTTTGACATTTGAGACTATAGAATTGTTGTTGTTAATAATGTTTATGCAATATATTACTATCTATACCAACTGTTCCTTGAAGGTATTTTGCCCTCTACCCTTAATTTAAAAAGAATGTAAGGCAGTGAAGGCTTTAAAAGATCCTTCTAAATAATTGTGGGTTCATAAACAAGTTCATAAACAACTGCTTTCCACTTCCAGAAAAAGAAATGTGCAATCACATTGTTTAGAAAGCATTATTATTTTAAGTGCAAGAGGAGAAAAAAGTCTGAACTTGTTTTTTGTGAACCCCAGAGGTTCTCCATGTCAGTGAAATAATAAGAATTTAGATCTAACAAAATTGTTTAATTAGAGATAAAGGACTTGCTGCCCCTACCTACAGTTTCTTCACTTAGTGACAGTTAACAGTACAAAAGTCACACTGCATTGTCAAGATAATGCGTCACAGGGAGTCATAGAAAGCTCCAAAATAATTATAGTATTATCCTTACTCTCTCCTCCCCTTTTCACCTTTGTGGGAAAAGAGGTGTTTCTCCATTTTTTTCTCTAAATCAACAGGAACTCTGATCAAACCAGTGACCTTTAAATGAACTGTGTATGTGACCCAATGAAATGCATCTGGTCCTAGAAAAATAGATTATACGCTATACTCCAGTGATCTTCAGACACTCTGATAGCATGTCTCTCTATAGCAGAAAGGTAAAGATTTGTTATTAATATTATTCTTATGGTGACAGAACAGTGAAGGACTACATGTATTAAAGTGTGCTCCCCTCCCTTCCCCAGTGGTTCTTATACTGCAGGTTAAACAGGAAAATTACTAACAGCTGATTGCCAGAGGCATTTCCCATATACACATGATTCTACTTGCACCTGTGATTTAAAATAAGTAGAATGAATACAGGAGTATCTGGTTTCTAGACATATCAATTAATTTTTCTTCCACATTGTTCTTCTGAAAGGAAAATTCAAACTATGTGAATATAAAAATGGACTAAAGTTTGGCTTGCTTAATGCATTCCTGCAACAGACTTGGTACTCTTCAAGATAAATATGTATAAAGGCAGCAATTGTCCTCCCGCAAAGTCTTATATTTGTCCACATACATACATTAGTTATTAAATTAATATTATTATTAGCTAGTATTTTATTGCATTGTTTTATTTGAGATAGACACTGTCATTACACAAAATTAATTAACACCCTGGATAATCACAGTTTGTGGGTTAATATATTCTATTCAACACTTTAACAACAGTAAACAAAAACAGCTCAGCTATGCAGCAAAATCCATCAAACCACACAGATGGTTATAAGCTTTTCATTATGTGGTTTCCATAGCAATCATATTGCAAATCTGGAAGCTTCTTGCAAATAAGCAGCTTGTATTTACATGCCTCTCAGCTGCAGCATGGAACTCTAACAACATACAAAGTTTTGATTCCAATCACATATTGTTAGATGAATCATTGGGAGATGTTTTGATCAGTCGAAATAAAAACAAACAACGGAGGGAACTAATTTGAAAAAAAAAATTCAGGCAGTGTATACCTGTGATACATGTGAATGTAACTAAATTTAAAATTTCAGTGTGGCAAAAAAATTACAAGTATACAGCTTGCCTTTTAAAAAAAAAAGACCCCCCCCCCCCCCCTTACAAAAAAAGATGTATTAGCAAATGAATACAAATCAGTGTCTCAGTGCACTCAAAATGGAAGTCACATGCATACACAGGAAGAACTCAAAAGAAACTGAAACATTATGGTTACAAACATAGCTAATTTGCTCACATATAATTAAAAGGTATGAGCACCTATTAACAGCTGACTGGTGAGAAATTCACAGTTTCACCACGATATATCTTTTTCTTAAAATAACCCCATGTGACTGCAAATGGGAACTCTCAAGAAAAATGAGTAAATGCTTACTGTGGGGAAGAGTCAAGGCCCTCTCTCTCCCAGATTTATAAATTCAATTTTACAAATTGATCTTGCTCTGGAACAGATGGATTATTACCCTAATAAGGAACATAAATCTGTCCAGCTATGCAGTTTTACAAAATAGCAAGAACTAGCTTTTACAAAAGTTCCTGTAGCAAGGAGTTAAAGGACCAAAAATAAGGAGCAATTAAGGGGAAAAATGCTTATATCCATATTTATCCCCCTTAAATTTAGGCCCATGTGTCACCCAACCTACCAACACTAGCAGTGAGGACTCAAGCACAGAGCAGTGGGGGGACAAAGAAGAAAGCAGCAACAGTTCTCCCATACCCTGCACAAGTTGTTACCCTTACAGTCTCTGAAGTGAATACTCTCTAGTTGACTGGTGAATCAGTAGAAAGTTTGCAGAATTCTTGATATATGTCTTCAGATACCCTAGGCTCTTACCTGCATCCTAGTTCAAACCCCTGTCACCATACAAAACCTTTATGCTCATGCTTGTATGTCCTTCAAATCCAAACTTACTTGACCAACTAGTGGTGTTACAAATAGCCTGGGCTTGCTTTACAGCAGGTTCTGATGTGTCCATTTTTTTAGTAAGGATACAGTTTAAGAATGCAGGCGTATGATGCCATTGCCACAGAGTAATTTACCCAGGAATTTACTCTGGACTAGAACCAACACATGACCAACTGTCCCAAACTGGCTGCTCACAGAAGGTGCTACTATAATCCAGATCCTATAATGCTTGGCCATTTGGTGGTGGGGA